AAAAAAATAAAAAAATTATATAAAAATCATTTCTGAAATTATTACAATGTTTCTTACTTAGTATTTACAATTGTTACTCTATCTTTTTTTTTTTAAAGAATTTATTCTTAAAAAGATATAAATTTTCATCTAGAGGTTAAAAGGAAAAAATCTTTGGTTAATTTCAGCACATTAATAATGTATTCTCAAAAGGATATTTGGGTGTAAATTATACCACGTCACTTTTTCCTTCAAGGTTGTACGGTGTAGGATTTCATTCATGTCTTAAAGGTGAATAAATACACCCTTATTTAGAAGCACATTGACAGTAAGCAAGTGCAGAGAGAAAGGAGAAAGAAAAGTAGTGCACCCTTCTCTTTTGCTTCGGATTGGTTGTGCCGTTCTCTGTTTATAAATATTATATTAAGCCCTGCTTTTCATCCTGTGCCCTCAGCTTACTGGCTTCATTTTCTCTTCACGGTCTTAAGCAGCAGAAAACATAGAGAAAGCTACCTTCTTTTGTTCCTGTTGTAGAACAAGGAATTGCCTTTTGCCTCCTCCTTCACAGGGGTTACTAGGGTAACGCTTGCTTTTTGGGTGTATTTAAAGTGTTCTGTTGGACGAAATCAAGGAGGAGTTGTCAGTTCCAAGGACTGGAAGTTCAGAATCGTTTAATGAGGGTCTGGGAAGAGAGTCTTGGGGAGTAAAGTTGGGTTTCTGGTTTTGGAAAATGGGTTCATTGCTAAGGCAGACACTGAAGAGACTTTGTTGCAGTAATGGCTGGTCTTATGGCGTTTTTTGGGGTTTTGATCAGAGAAATCCCATGTGAGTTTTTGTTGGTTTCCAAGTATTGTGTGTGTGGGTGTTTTTTTTTCTGTAATTACTTGATCTTTTTTTTTTAGTGTTTCTTTCTTGTTTCTTCCAAGTTCTTTAAGTTTTCCTTTTTCTGACTTTAAGTTGTTCTAGATCCTCTTTCCTCATGTTAATTTTGTTTTCCCTTCTTTGTTGCATACTTCCATTTCATTTTTTTTCCCCTTGTTTTGGCTTTTGTTTCTCCTGGTGGGAGTTGTAAATATGCATGCATGTCTTGATTCTGAGCACAAATTTTCCTTAGGTTAATGTCATGCATCTCTTTATTTATCAGGTCTCTAATTTGATATGAACACCTTAACCATTTAGTTCATGGTTTTCTTCTGTGGGATCACGTCAAACTTAAATCCAAGTTTAGTTGAAATTTGTCCAAACAAAGACTTAAGAGGGTGTTTTACTTACGATATATTCTGCTCTTGACATTTAATCAGGTTGTTAACAATAGAAGATGCTTACTATGAAAAGGAGATGAAGACATTGGTTGATGATATGCTTCAAAAGTTCCATATTTTCGGTGAAGGGTATGCCCAATTTAGCACCCGCATTCTGTTTCAATGATTTGGTTGTTTACATCAAATGTTTCTCCTTTCTGCAAAAATCCGTCAAAATGTTTCAAGGTTTCTTCTACTTTAAAAACTTGAGCGAATTTGGAGCATTACTAGATCTCTAACAGAGAAAATGTTGGTCTTTTGTCGATTCAGCATCATTGGCCAGGCTGCTTTAACTAGGAGCAGTAGATGGATATTTTCAGATTCTCATGGTGGAAATTGGAATTCCGTTGGCTCTTTTGCAAATGAAAATATGCCTCAGGTTCCATTTTCCTCTCTGATTTTCATTTCTCGGGTTTCTTTCCTTTTATTTTCCAACAATGAGCAACTTCACAATTGTTAACACATTAAATCCTGATTTTATGACTATGTTTTTGAATTATTCAATTCTTACACTTTGGAAATCAACTGCTTTTTGAAAAATTTCTTCCCTTTTTTACAGGATGAATCTGAGTTTCAAAGCCAATTTTCATCTGGGATCAAGGTACCTCTATATTTAAGCCAATCATTTTCCTAGTAATTTTATCTGAAATAATTTTCTTCATATCACAATGCCATATGTATTAACAATGGAATATGATCTGCAGACAATTGCAGTTATCTCTGTAGAATCACGCGGAGTGATACAGTTTGGATCCACTCAGAAGGTTAGAAAAGTAAAAGTACAGGAAATGATTTAAAGCTCTTGAAAATGTGAACATGAAGATGTATTTCCTTGTTTAGTTGTCACTTGTCTGCTAGTTGAAGGGCAGAAAATCATCTTACATTGTAGCACTGGCTTTTTGAAAAATTCTTACTCTTTGACCCTATTGCTCCATTTGCAGATTTTGGAGAGGTTGGAATTTTTAGATCAAACAAAGAAGTTGTTCAATGACATGGGGAGTATTGATGGGCTTATCCTAGCAGACTTTGTTCCATTTTCATCTAACAAAGAAAATTATGATCTCGATGGGTTTTTCCCTTCCTTGCTATCATCTGGGAATTCCTCTGATGGAATTCTCACATCTGAACAAGGTGGCTGTGCTGGGGAGCTAACAGGAAAACCATGTTCACCAAGGATGGGTTCTATGCAGCAGTATTCATCTCACCATAATGATCAATTACAAACTATGTGTGCGGAAGCTCTTAAAACTCAGCAGCAGTTGCATTTGCAGCCCTTCTCTTCTGTTAACAACTCAGCTGCTGATACTCCTTGCACTAGTTCGGGGGGTGGTGGAGGTTCTGTTTTGACTTCATTTGAGACATTAATGCTATCTGATGAGGATCTTTGGGATTCTCCTTTTGCATCCCCCCTGACAAATTCTCCTGTCCTCTGGGGAAGTACAAGACAGACTAACGATAATTCAACATTAAATTCATTTCATAGAACAGGGGGAGCAGTTGATCTACAGAAACCTATTGAAGACATCTCTAGAAATTCAACTGACAGCCAGAACTCTTCTGCATCAGTTATTCTCACTGATGGACTTCTAGGCAGTGTGACTAGCCTACCAAAAATTCCTGCAGAGTTCATGCCAGCTGAATATTCCTCAGATATCTCCAATTTCTGTGCAGTTGACGATTTTTCTCAGTGGTTTGCTTCTTCACCTGGTCAGGACACCAATGCAGCTGGAACTGCTATAGCTGGTGATCTTTCATGTGCAACAGAAGTTTCTTCGCTGTCTTCTGGGCTGGTCAGAGATGTTCTCAGTGACATTCCAGTAAAATATCTGACCAATTCAGTGCAAAGTTCCATCACTGACTCATTCCTGTCTGATGTGCGAAAGAAATCAACAGTTGTTGATGGTAATGAAAATAATCCATTTGACAGCCTGAAATTTGATTTTGGTTCTGGAAAAACCGGTGAGTGTTTGGAAGATATTGTCATGCCAATGATTGGTGGCAATTACTCTGCTGTTGGTATGGGAATGCCTCGATGCATTTCAAGGTCAGATGTTGGCTGCACAGCTGACTCACACACAGGGTTGTTCTCCAAACTAGGACTCGAAGCGCTTCTTAATACTTTTAGCAGTTCTGATTCTGTTGCCACGTCTACTGTTGAGGATCAAGTCCCCACCACAAAAAGAAGGAAAATGGAAAGTTCATATTCTACTTTCAATCCAGTTGATTTTGCGGGACTCTCTTGCTCGAGCAGGAGCATCAACCTGATGCAGCATTCACATAACTTGGACAGGACAAATAGTACCATGTTAAAAAAAGAGGTTCCTGCAAAATCACAAGTGGGCTTATGGATTGATGATAGCTATAGCATCAATGTTGTAGATAATGCCGTAGGGGCATCAAAGGAAGCTGAGGAACCTCCAAAGGTAACAAAGAAAAGGGCTAAACCTGGACAGAGTACCCGACCAAGACCAAAAGACCGTCAGATGATCCAAGACCGTCTAAGAGAGTTGCGAGGGATTATTCCTGATAGTGGAAAGGTACATAATCTCAAGTCTTTGCTTTAGACAAGGATAAATTGGTAAATATTTGATTTGCTATCATACAGAGAATTCTTTGATATAATCTTTTATAAAACATCTATTATTACCTTTTTGTTTTAAAAACAAAATGTTAGAATTTTGATATCTATAATTATTTATGGTGTTGACTCTTCTGCCATGATAAATGTAGCATTTTACACTAATGATTTCCATGGCTTACCTTAGCATATAACAATCTGCCTCACCTTGGCTTCATTGATGTAACAGTGCAGCATTGATTCATTGTTGGATCGAACTGTCAAATACATGTGTTTCTTGCAAGGTGTAACAAAATATGCAGACAAGCTTACACAAGCTGATGAACCAAAGGTAACCTGTTTATTTTATGTATCTATTTTTTGTTAAAGTGGAGTTGCTTACATTTATAAATCACTGTTGAGCCTGACTTGACACATTTGCATGATTCTATAGCTAATTGGCCCAGACAATGGAGCAGTACTAAAAGACCACAGGAGTGGCGGTTCTTGTGGGGCAACTTGGGCATTTGAATTAGGCGATCAGACCATGGGTTGCCCAGTTATAGTTGAGGACCTAAATCCACCTGGCCAAATGCTTATAGAGGTATGGGAAGACAAAACATAGAAAATAAAGACAAAGGAACTCTTCTGATAATTGGCTAACCAACACAAGCTTGATTGCCTTGTAGATGCTATGTGAAGACCAAGGATTCTTTCTCGAGATAGCAGACATAATTAGGGGTTTTGGGTTGAATATTTTGAAGGGAGTGATGGAGATTCGAGAAGATAAGATATGGGCACACTTCATTGTTGAGGTAAATACAGAAGTAAAAGTTTTTAAGTTGCTGAATTAAGTACAATCTAATACATTTCTTTTAACTGATGGGGAAAATGCATTACAGGCAAACAAGAAAGTCACAAGGTTGGATATTCTTTGGTCCCTCATCCAGTTTCTGCAACAAACCGCGACTAGTGGGATTAATCCCACAAAACAGCCCAGCAGCGCCATGGATTGCATGAATCCCCTATTAAACAAACACCAGCAGCCTTTGCTGCTGCCCTCTGGCAGGCTTGCTGAGACACTTGGATATGATTAAGCACACAATTCAAAGGTTCCAGAAGTACCTTGAGCATCATTTGTTAATGGCCTGCGATGATTGGTTTTTCTGGAAGCTGGAGGGCCACAAACAAAGATATCAATTAAGGTGTTTGATTCCATTTTCTACACATAGGAAATTAATGGAAATGGAAGATATATTGTTGATAGACTAGCAAATACATTGGTAAAATGTCAAAGTGATCCCATTGCTTCTTATACAGTAGTTGTTCAGGGAGGAAACATTTCTATGAATATCAATATAGTTTCTGCAAAAGAGAAGCAATAGATTCATTGGTGTTTCTGTTGCACAAATTGCAGTGATATGTTGACTTATTTGTGATGGTGGGGAGTGATGGTTTTTGAATTACATCTGCTGTTATTATTATTATTATTTTTTTTTTTTTTTGAGCTTCTTTATATAGCCCCTTCTAAAATCTGTTCATAATTTATTTTGAGTCAGTGGGCAACTTTTATTGTCTCTAATTACCAACCAAAAAAAAAAAAAAAAACATTTTCTTGTCTCTCAATGGTCTACACTCTTGCATGGTTAAGGTTACACAATTTTTTTAAAATAAAAAGTTGTTATTATATTTAAAAATATTAATTTTAATGTATAATAAATATAAGTTTTTTATTATTTATTAACTAACAATGTTATTTATCAATTAATTGTTACATTAATATAATTGTTTTTAATAAAAAAATTAGTATTTTAAAAAATAACGTTTAAAATTTAATAAAATATTAATAATTTATTGTGTGATCATAATCATGTCTTTATGTTAAAAAGAGATTATATGTCTTAAATTACAATAAGAAGAATTTATCACAGGAAAAATAAAAAGAAAAGAAACAGGGTAGATAGTCAACAAAGCCTTTAACCCAGATTGCAGCAAAAATCCCATTACAACTGAACTATGAATCTATGATAATTTGAGTTGGGATCCAATTGATGTGATGAAGAAGGTTTAGAACCCAATTGAAAACCCAATTTTAATATTGAGGGCTGGAATGTTTATTGACCAAAGTCCAAAAGCGTGGGCAAGAATATTTCAATCTTCCATTTTTGTTTTTAATAGTGCAAGCAGAGTTTGAGATATCATGATAGACAATCATTTCTAAGGTACCCTTGTATTTTCAAGAATTTATCCAGGTTTATACAGATCTTTTTTTTTTTTTTTTTTTTGAACACGAAAAATTGCGGGTAAAAAAAAAAACTTTTAAGTGGTTGATGAGAATTGAATTTTTGAACAACTGGATTCAAATACAAAAGTTTAGGGATGACTCATTAAATCCAAAATGATTGATTCATATAGATTAATTTTTTATATAATTTGTACTTTAATTTAATTAATAGTTGCTTCAGTAGTTATAATATTTATTAGATGCAATGACCGATATGAATGGTAAGATTCATTGACCTTTTTTTATCAATTAAGCAAAACTTTTCAACGGGTAAATGAAACATGAGTTGATCATCTGTTAGGCAAGATGCATGCGTGGTCCTCCAGCTAGTGCTTCCTCCACTAAAAATGGATTTTCTTACATGGACTCCTCAACTTTGTTCTTGTACCTTATGGTACGGGACACTGAAGTACTGTAAGCTGAGGCATTTTTTGGCTGAATTTTGGAAGAGAAAAAGCTTTAACCTTTTTAACTGTCCTATAATGTACAAAAGAGTTTGTTGTTTGACATTTTAAATCATGTATTAGTATTAAGAGGGAGCCTAAGGAGTCAGCGTTAGCTTTTGGAAGAAAAAAAAAGGGGGCTACCCAGGCATGCATCATTATCTTCAACTAATATAAAAACTAACAAATAAA